GCGTCTGTACCTGTCAAGTCATTTTTGTGACACACGTCTGTGTCCCGGATAATTGCCCTCAGTTTTTCTTTTCGTTTGGGTAGAAAACAAGTCGCGCCTTGGAGGACTCTTCTGGGGTCCTTATTTTTTTCTATACTGTTTCGAAATGTTTTTGCGTCAAGGAGTTACGCTTTGAAGGTGACCGTCAGGTGACGAAGACTATCGTGTGTATGATATGCGTCTGAACCTGTCAAGTCATTTTTGTGACACACGTCTGTATCCCGGAGAGTTGCCCTCAGTTTTTCTTTTCGTTTGGGTAGAAAATAAGTCGCGTGGAGGACTTTTCTGGGGTCCATTCTTTTTTCTATACTGTTTCGAAAGGTCTTTGGGGGCAATTGGCTTGTGACCATGGAAGACGTCCGCGTAAGTTGGACCAATACGGACACAACAAGGTACTGAGCGGAGACCGGAACGGTTCAAGTGAGAAGACAACAACAACAACAACAACAACAACAACAACAACAACAACAACAACAACAACAACAACAACAACAACAACAACAACAACAACAGCGTGAAAATACTCATAAGGGTTTGGATTTCAGGTCTTACATCAATCACGATCGGTGATCGTGTCATTACCGGGTCACTGTAAGTGGATCATGACCGAGACACGATCATGTGATCGTCTAACCACGAACCGATGGTTTGTGTAGATTTTGTGCGTCAACACCGGCCTAGAACCTATGCCGGTAGACCCACCAAGCAATATTGCCTTGAAAATCAAACCAGCACCTATGCCGGCAGCCCCACCTAGAACGCATCCGCCGAGCGCCACCGTAGCACCCATCCGTGCGGATTTGGGATTATGGTAAGGATTCGCGGAAGGGGCCCCATCGTGTGGATTTGGGATTATGGTTAGAATTCGTGGAATGGGTATTAGCCCGTTTCCATGCCCATGCCCAAGCCGATAGTCTATTGTAAAGGGAATCATTACCGAGTCATGGCTCGGTCAAGGGCCATGAACTGGTCGTAGCTCGGTTATGCCGAGTCATGACCCAAACATGACGGAGGCATGACTTTTCGGTCATGATGGGATGGGAACATGCCTTCATCTCGAAGACTGCGTCATGACCCGATCGTGATCATGACTCGGTCATGACCCAGTCATGCCCGGGTTGTGACCGATTCACAATCGGGTCATGACCGAGTCATGACCAGGTGAAATCAGGTCGTGAGTCATGATGACCTGATCACTCAATTTGACCAATAACCCAAAAATGCCGAAGCCCCGCTTGGTTGCGGAACATGATGGATGAGCTGATTATCTCACTCTATGAATGAGGGTGTCTGTCAATTGAACGTACACCATGCCAATGTACAAAATCTAATGTTATCGAGTAGAGTTTGAGATTACAGGCTATGCGATGATGTCGCCCACGCTTTTAGCTCGAACTCTCACGCCTTCAGAGCTAGCACCCTCCTTGGTGGCTACTGTGGTTCTTTAGCCCATCTTTCCCCCCCCGACAATACCACGAAACCCAAGCTACAACTAAGTGGAGACACTGCCTGAAAGGTTATTCGACTCTCTCAATCTCCTGATGGAAGCGTGAGTGCCGTACAGCAGTAGGTTCGAGATAGAATGATGTATTTGGGGGGTGTTGGCTGTGACAGCCCGACAATCTGCCATTTAACTTCCTGCCCGTCGTGTGGCGAGCTGAGAGATGTCCAATAACCTTTGTGTGTGCCTCGACTTGATGTACTGTAGACCATTAGCCCCGAGGTCAACGAGTCTGCGAAGTCACAATGTGTCAGCTTGCTTGCGAAATCGTAGTGGTTGAACCCGGAGTCCTGACGCCTCCGCTGTGCAGTGGGCGGCCGTAGCAGTTCTCGTCGATACATCGTTCCCGATCATGAATAGACATGAACTGGCGAAACAGTGACATGATGGAGTTTGGTTGTTCTACAACGATGAACGGTGGTTTGAATGACATCATCCTTCGCAGCAGATTGAATGGTACTCTCGCGACTAGTTGGTAAAACTCACGACTTGATAGGATGGATTGCCAGCACGTCACCAAAATGCGTCAAACTCGCGCGCACAACCGTGACGAACGAGCCTGTCCGGTCGCCCATACTGTACGGGAGGGTGTTTTCAATTGGTGCCGCGACTGCCTCTCTGCGTATACCTGGAAACCTGAAGAAGATCGAACGGTGCGCTGACCCAAAGTTGCGTCATTCGCTTGCTCCCTTAATCTTGGGCTGGCAACACCACCGACGAGCGGACCCATGATGATACGATCGACGTGCAATCGCCGAAGCGGTTGACGCCTGCTCTTTCGACGCTCCTCCTCGACTTATGTCGTCTATCCGACGAACCCGCAGGTACATGAGCTCCAACGACCTGATGACGCTGCCTGCTGGGACATTCGATTCGCTTCAGGTCATGACGCTGCTGTACCTATCGTGCAGCTGAATGTCGCCGGTAAAAGATGTCCATTGGGTAACACCAAGAACGGAGCTCTTCCGGTGTAGCTCCCGTATGAAGCTGGTCGAACGACGACTTTCACGGCCGTCGCTTTCGATGAGTTAAACTCCGTACGTATGGATGGCCGGAAGGTCGTCCAGATGATTTCTGCGTGCTTGTTGCTGAACCGTGGGGAATGAACCGACTCTCCAGACCTGGGGAGAGAATGAGCGCGTTGTAAAATTTGGTACCACATGTATATTGTGATCACGATACTCGGGACGGTCTGTCTCGAAGCAGACCGGCTGTACACTGTTCCAAGTTACACCAGGGTCCGCCATTGATGTTTGACGATCGACACTCCCAACGCAGCAGCCCACTCGTGACCGCAATGCAGTAATAGACACGGGCGACATTGCTCAGTTATCTCCCGTCTTACCTCTCTCATCCTCCCGACGAACCCGTAGGTGCCTGGGCTACAACCAGTCGACAACGCTGCCTGCTGGGATATTCGGTTCTCTCCCCGCCCTCACAACACTGTACGTATCGTGCAGCTGGATGTCGCCGGTAAGAGATATCCATGGGGGTAGACGATAAACGGAGGTGTTTCGGTGTAAGTCCCGTACTCAGGTCGTCGAATGACGACTTTCGAAGCCGTCGCTGTCGATCAGTTGGACTTCGTGCTTAGGGACTACCGGCAGGTGGTGCAGATGCATTCGGCTCATTTGGTACACCGTGGGGAATGAGCCGATTCTCCAATCACCTGCTTGAGAGTGAGCGCGTTTCGAAAACCGATGTAGTGACTACGATGCTCCAGGCCGCATGTCTTGAAGCAGATCGGCTGTACATTGTTCCATGTTGCAAGAATCCGCCAATGCATTTTCTCGTTTGACGATCGGTTCTCCTGCGCTAGCAATCCGCTCGTGACCGAAATGCAGTAACAGAAGCGGGTGACACTTCCTCCTTTGTGCCCCCTCTTGGATCTCTCTCACCCTCCCGACGAACCCATAGGGGCCTCACCAACAACGAGTTGACGACGCTGCCTGCTGGGATGCTCGATTCTCTCACGGCTCTGACGGAACTGTGCGTATCGTGCAGTTGGAATTCGACGATAGAAGATATCTATGGGAGAAAATGATGAACGGAGATGTTTCCGTGTAGCTCCCGTATTCAGCTCGTCGAATGACGATTCTAACGGCAGTCGCCTTTGATGAGTTGGACCTCGTGCGAATGTATGACCGGTAGGTCGTGCAGTGTACTCGACTAACTGGCTAAACCATTGGGAAAGAGTCGATTCCCTAACGCTCTGCTGTAGAGTGGGCGTATGTGTGAAAAGTGGTTCGGTGACTACGATACTCCAGGCAATATGTCGTGAAGCAAATCGGCTGTACGCTGTTCCATGTTGCATGAATCCGCCACGGCATATTGACGTTTGACGATGGGGCCTCTCAAACTAGCGGCCCACTCGTGCCCGCAAAGCCCAAACAGAAACGGTGACACTTGTTCCTTTGTCTCCTCTCGCGCACCTCTTTGAACCCCCGACGAACTCGTAGGGAAGTGACCTACGAAACCTGGCGACGCTGCCTGCGGGGATATTCAGTTCTGTCCCGACCCTTACCGAACTGTACGTATGGCACGGTAGGCAGGATATTGAGGGTATGGACTTGATAAGGGTTGGATGCGGTATCGCGAATACCCATGGTATTTGGTATCGCACAAATATCTAGCAGGTCGAGTGACAATCTCGCTACCCTTCGTTCTCTTTGGTTCAGAGTTGGAGCGTGTTCGTATATGTCTTTTACTTGCAAGGGGAAGACGTTTTATATCTTGTATTAGACACGCTAGGGGAGTAGGGAGAAGTGAAGCCCTCTTTGGAGATCGAGGGGTTCCCGCACATGCAACCATTTCAAGGTGTACATTTGCCCCATCTGCGTGCCCTCTGATGCTACCGGTAGATCTAACCAGTCCGTATCCAAACACACGAACACTCTCCCCGGTTTGCACGCGAATGGCAAACCTAACGTGGGGCATGGATACCCCTGATCTACCAAAGGAACTCAATACAACCACAGGCTCGAGGGAAAACCCGGCCAACCGGATCAAAAACCCTCGTCTAACACCCAAAATATAGAAAACCGTCGCNTCCGATCTCAGGACAGATTGAACCGGTCGCGCTGATCTAACACCCGAAGCACGCTCTCGGCGTTTCTAGGCTCCAGCCACGGGTGACGCGCCGGCACAACGCTTCCTGCGTGACGTACCATGGTCATATTTGTCAAGTGCTAAAACCACCACATAAACCAAACAGAACANGCGAATGGCAAACCTAACGTGGGGCATGGATACCCCTGATCTACCAAAGGAACTCAATACAACCACAGGCTCGAGGGAAAACCCGGCCAACCGGATCAAAAACCCTCGTCTAACACCCAAAATATAGAAAACCGTCGCTATCACGGAGGATTCCAACGGCCGCACTTCCAAGACAAGACCAAGTCAGGACAGATTGAACCGGTCACGCTGATCTAACACCCGAAGCACGCTCTCGGCGTTTCTAGGCTCCAGCCACGGGTGACGCGCCGGCACAACGCTTCCTGCGTGACGTACCATGGTCATATTTGTCAAGTGCTAAAACCACCACATAAACCAAACAGAACAAGACAACACTACATCGGTAGGTTCATCAGAGCCTTCCGGTGGTACTCTAACTTCTCTCTGCCGAGGACCTTGGTCAGCATATCGGCGTGCTGCCTCTCCAGTCGGAACATACTCTGCAGTGATCTTGCCCGACTTGGATAGCTCGCGAATGAAATGGAACCGCACGTCGATGTGCTTGCTCCTCGCTGAGCTGAACGGGTTCTCGATAAAGGCGAGAGCCCCCTTGTTGTCCTCAAGGACCTTGATCTTCGCCCCACTTGTCTCGGGCGCTATGAACGACAGCACGCCACGTACAAACAACGCCTCCTTCACGCCCTCCCCGGCTGCCATATACTCTGCTTCCGAGGTCGACTGAGCCGTCACTGGCTGCGGCTTGGTGGATGCACACACTANGAGGGGGGGTGAACTCTTGTTTGATGCCGTGTCTGCGGTAAACTTCCGCAAACTGCCCGTGGAACTCGCTGCCACCGTCGGTACGTGCGATATAAACCTCACACGGAACCCCTTTCGTTCGGTAGTCCGCCAGGAACTTCTCAAACCCAACCGCTGCGTCAGACTTGTGTTTCAAGAAGAAAACACGCGTCCAACGGGAGAAATCGTCTCTGATGATCAGTGTGTACCAGTTGCCACCAATGCTCCTGGTTTCCATCCTTCACCCCAAGTCGAGATACGCGAAATAACTTCTTAACTGCGCGTGTGCTCGTGCGCTGCTGGACGGGTTTCACCTGTCCCTTGGACATCGAACAGCCAATACAGGGTAGCAGCGGTCCATGCGTCAGCTGCACTCCCTGCTGCTCCGCCGTGATCCTGAGCAATTTCTCGTGGGCATGGCCGTGCGCGAGGTGGTATTCGTTGAGGTCAGTGGGGGTGGCTGCTTTCGCATCGCCAGGAACAATGAGTGCGGCACAAGCGGTGTGTAGCGTTGTCTTTATTTGATAGCCTCGTTGGGTCAGCCGCTTTCCAGTCCGGGGGGACCACACCTCCCCCCCGGCTTTCGTGGTCAGCGTGAGGCCCCCCTTCATCTCCGAACACGTGTGGCCCTCCTCCACCAACGAAGACAGCGAGAGGAGGTTGTAGGGGGCCTCTGGTACATGGGCAGCATTCCGTACTGGTACGGGTACTCCACCATCTTCCGTCTGTAGGACTAAGGTTACATCTCCGTATCCTAGAAGAGGAACGGGGGCCTTGTCGCCTCCGATCCCCTTCACCCAACCACTATGCTCACGGTAGTTCACGAAGTTGTCTGTACATCGGAACATGGAGCACGTGGCCGCTGTGTCGGCCACGTACACCGCCTGGCCTTGTTTCACAACCCCCACTAGACCTACTTCACCAACGGTACCACACTCGCCTGGGGGGACTGCCACGGCACAAAACGCCTGGTCTTCCACGGAGTCCACGTCGCTCTCATGCTCCACCACTTGCGCTAGGACGGCCTCCTCAGTCGGGCACTTTTCTTTGGTGTGGCCCCACCCCTCGCAGCTCGCACACCACGGCACGAAGTCCTTCTCGTTGGTGGTGCAGCCGATCGCTTGATGTCCACGATGTCCACACCTAAAGCACCGGCCCGGGAACTTATAGTCCCCGCCACCGCCGCCATCGGCGCCTCCACTACTGCTTCCCTTGCTCTCCTCGACTCCTCCGGATCCGCCTGAGCGGCCGCCGCGACCGCCGTCGCCGCCGCCGCGACCGCCTCCGCCGCGGTCACGACTGCTGCTGCGGCCACGGCCGCCGCCGCGACCACGACCTTGCCCCTGACTCCTACTTGAGTACCGCTCCCTGCGGCCCTCACCGTCGGCGAAGTACGCTTGCTCTGCGCCCTTCACACCTTTCCCTTTCCCCTGCTCCCTCTTGTCCTTGATTGCCTTGTATTCGATCATTACTTCCTTTAGCACACCGGTCCGCGTCAACTCCGCGTGTCGCAGGTTGTGCTTTGTCATGGCGTACTCGTCCAAAAGGGCATCCAGGAAGAGGTGAAGGACGAACGTTTCGCTGACAGTTAGCCCTTTCTCGGTTGAGGACTTTGCGGTGTGGAGCATCTCATTTAGGGCGTTTTGGGGGTTTCCACCTCTAGAGATCTTGGTCGACGTCAGGGACTTGAGGTCCTCTGACGGCTGTGCAGATGATTTAGGGTCGTGTATGGTCTTGAGCTCACGAAGAGCTCCCTGGGGCGTCTCTGCCCTCTTCATGATTGTCCGATCTTTGTCTTTCAACGCGTGAGACAGGAAGCTCCACGCGTGGAAGGCGAGCTCTAGCTCGCTCCGGTATTGCTGTGACAGCGAAAACTTGCTCTTTCCGCTGTTGACGGGGATCTCCAAGCTCCCGCTCTCTTTAAATTGTTCCAACAGGTTTACGCCATTAGCTGCCATGCGGAAATCATTTAGCCATTCGTTGAAATCTTTCGATTTCTTTNCTTGTATTCGATCATTACTTCCTTTAGCACACCGGTCCGCGTCAACTCCGCGTGTCGCAGGTTGTGCTTTGTCATGGCGTACTCGTCCAAAAGGGCATCCAGGAAGAGGTGAAGGACGAACGTTTCGCTGACAGTTAGCCCTTTCTCGGTTGAGGACTTTGCGGTGTGGAGCATCTCATTTAGGGCGTTTTGGGGGTTTCCACCTCTAGAGATCTTGGTCGACGTCAGGGACTTGAGGTCCTCTGACGGCTGTGCAGATGATTTAGGGTCGTGTATGGTCTTGAGCTCACGAAGAGCTCCCTGGGGCGTCTCTGCCCTCTTCATGATTGTCCGATCTTTGTCTTTCAACGCGTGAGACAGGAAGCTCCACGCGTGGAAGGCGAGCTCTAGCTCGCTCCGGTATTGCTGTGACAGCGAAAACTTGCTCTTTCCGCTGTTGACGGGGATCTCCAAGCTCCCGCTCTCTTTAAATTGTTCCAACAGGTTTACGCCATTAGCTGCCATGCGGAAATCATTTAGCCATTCGTTGAAATCTTTCGATTTCTTTCTGAACGGAGAAGTGTACCGCACACTTTGGTACCCCGTCGCTGGGGTTGTGGCTCCGTATCCAAAGCCAACAGCAGCACCACCATCTCCCATGGCACTACAATAATCTTGGTTGTGAGCAGCGGCTAATCTCACCTCTTGGGGGACAAAGCCCCCTGCTTCGCCGCTGTGTCGCCCTGACGGGCCAGACTCTCGAACAGGTTCGCGCAGGTACCTCCCGTCCTGCGCACTCCCGGTCCACGGTGCCCCTCCTTCGGCGTTCGTGGACTCCACGGCGGCGCTCTCCCTAGCATCGCCGCGATCAGCGGCACCCTCCATGGTGCCAGCTGGCTCCTCCTTCTTGCTTGCCTCCGTGGTATCTTCCACTAGCGACATTAACTGACTCATCTGATCCGTCAGCGAGCTAACTTGCGTCCTCAGGGCCACGAGCTCTTCTCTTGACCTCTTTCTGTCTTCCGCCGCAGAGTCGTTGGAGGAGTCACCCCCATCATTGCGACCTGACATTCCTGATGGACTCTCCCTCGAGGGACTGCCACTAGTGTGTTCGTATATGTCCTGTACTTGGAAGGGGAAGACGTTTTATCTCTTGTATTAGACACGCAAGGGGAGTAGGGAGAAATGAAGCCCTCTTTGGAACTCGAGGGGTCCCCGCACATGCAACCATTTCAAGGTGTACATATGCCCCATCTGCGTGCCCTCTGTTGTTGCCGATAGATCTAACCGGTCCGTGTCCAAACACACGAATAGAGCGGGCGGTTACCCGGAAGGTCAACCGAACATGTCCGGTTTGCTTGCGCACCGTGGTTCATGATCAACTGCTTCTCCCATGATCTTCTTCTTTCCGTCGAACGTTTTCGTTTGATATCGTGGCTACGTTACTCCATGATTATATCTAACCACTTTGGCACATGGAATGAGACCTGTTGAATAGACGCGTGATATCGCCATGATGTATTCTGAATACCAAGGCCTTCGCTCGCTTTCTTAGCAGAAATTGAACATTAGGTTGGTGACGTCTGCTTTGAATATCGCTCGTCCTCTGCCTGTCGTGTGCCCTGCAAATGTACAGGGATCTGTCCTTCGACCAAATTACGACTTCGCCTGCCGGGATGTTTGGTTCAGGGAGCCAGCTGACTACCATGTGAGCATCATATGCACACAGCTGCAAGTTACAGGGGTAATGTTGCCGAAGAACACATGGTAGATGGCTGCCAGATCGTAACGAACGGCAGCACTAAGTGGGAGAACATTTTGGTAAGTGCGTGACAGCCATTACTGCCGATTACGACTCAGTGCCGGTACGTTGTCGGAGGTCACCGGAACATTTTCCACTTGCTCGCACGGAAGATAACTGCGTTCATCACCCCAACTCGGGCTTTCCCGCTCTCCAAATGAACCAATACAGACCAGAGCGGTAGCGGGTTGGAGATGCTGCCAGTCGGGTTGTTTGCATCTTCAAAACGAGCTACTGTAGCTGAAATCGGAATAGTTGTGGGAGGTAGTATGGGTGGTTGATATTGCGATCGACGAAAGCGTTTAGAGCCTTGTTGGGCACGAGCAGCAACACTCCCACGACCTTTGTACACGCATTTCGGCTTGGAGGAGATGGATGGTCGAGAGGTCGCGCAAAAGAGTTAGGTTGCTTGATGCGTTATGCCCAATCAGCCTGTCATGTCAAATCTAGTGCAAGCTATATATTGAGCGTGGTTTCGTACTACGGTGGCTGATGCACACCGTGGCATGATTGGAAGCCCGAAACACATTTAAATTCGAGCGTCAAGCTGCATGACTCCAAATCGGCTTTGACTTCAACTATCGGGCCTTCCAAGCCAGCTTTTCCCTTCCACGGCCAAGGTGCAACATCAGACTTATCTCTTCAATCGCCCCCACCACATCGGCCTGCCTCATTCCATAATACAGGGATCTGAGCTACAACTCCCTGTCGACACTGCCCGTCGGGGCGTTCGACCACCTGATCCTGTTGACTGAACTGTAAGTATCGTTCAGCTGAGAGTCTTCAGGGTTACAATACCGATTGGGTTGGTCGCGGTATCGCGACGAACGGACCTGCAGAGTGTGCGCGCGTGTCGGCTCATTGGTAGACACCACCGTGGTTTTCTACTTCGGGTCGGCTTGGTGGGACGAATGGCCGGGAGGTCCCCAAAATGTACGTGGCTTGTTGGATACCGTGGGGAATGATCCGGTTCTCTAGCCCTGTGCTGTAGAGTTAGCGCGTTATAAAAACTGGTGCAGTGACTACGATATTCCAGGCAGTATGTCTGGAAGCAGATCGGCTGTTCGATGTTCCAAGTTGCATGAATCCGCCACTGCCTTCACTTTCGAGGATCGAGCCGCCCAGAACCTTGCTGACCATTCACGACCGAAACGCAAGAACAGCCACGGGTGCCACCAGCTCCTTGGTCGTCTTACCTCTCTCGCTATCCCGATGAACCCGCAGGAACCTGCGCTTCAACAATCTGAAGACGCTGCCCGCTGGGATGTTCGATTCTCTTACGGTCCTGACGAAACTGTACGTATCATGCCGCTTGATGTCGCCGGTTGAAGATGTCGATTGGGGCAGGCGATGGAGCGAGTTTCCGGTGTAGCTTCTGACTAGAAGAACAATGACCACTAGACTACTATCAGCGCTGACAAGTAGTCTAGTGGTCGTGGTGCTTCTTAACAGCTGACTACGTAGTAGTCTAGTGGTCATCGTGCTTCTCAACAAAGGTTAATGCCCGTGTCCGGGCTGGCTTTGTAGCCATTAACACATTCCCCCACGGTTGCCATCTTGCCCGGAAAATTGTAAATCGGTACAAGAGGTTGATCGGCTGGCTTTGCGAAGTCTCATAGATTCTTTCTCCTCATAAATCAGGCGCAATAAAATATACCTATATTTAAGGGGAAATTCGAACCCAGGACATTAGTTTTTCGTTGTTAGGGAGCACGATGACCACTACTGTAGGCTGTCTAGTAGCCTAGTGGTCACCGTGCTTCTCAGCAGCTGACTGGTCCTCGTGTCCTGTCCAGGGTTTGAATCTCCCCTTGCGCACAATTTCTTTACGCCCGATGTATAAGGAGAAAGAGTCTTTAAGACTTCGCAAAGTAAACCGATGAACCTCTTGTGTCGATGCAATTTTCCGGGCAAGACAGCGCTGATCACAGGAGTGGCAACCCTGGGGGGACATGTTCGTGGCTGCAAAGCCAGACCGGACACGGGCATATCCCTTTATAAGAAGCACGATGGTCACTTGACTACTGGTCAGCGCTGACCAGTAGTCTAGTGGTCATGTGCTTCGTAAAACTGCTGTACTAAGGTACTTGAATGACCACTTTGACGGCCGTCACTTTCGACGAGTTGCACATCGTGTGGATGGATAGCCGTCATGTAGATGCATTTGATTCACTTGCTACTATACACCGTGGGGAATGGACCCATTCTTCGACCGTCTGCTGTAGAGTTGACCCGTTGCGAAAAACGATGCAGTGACAACAGTAGGATGCTCCAGGAAGCATGTCTGGAAGCATATCAGCTATTACTATAGGCTATTCCAAGTTGCATGGATCCGCCACTGCGTTCACTTTCGACGATCGAAGCTCCGAAACTAGGAGTCCACTCGTGACCGAAATGCGATAGCAGAAGCGGGTGACACTTGCTCCTTTGCCGCTCCTCTTGGGCCTACCGACAAACCCGAAGGCGCCTTAACAACAACGACCTGACGACGCTGCCTGCTGGAACATTCGGTGCTCTCCCAGCCCTGACAGAACTGTACGTATCATGCAGCCGGGTGTCGCCGGAATAAGGTGTCCATCGGGGTAGGCGACCATGAACGGAGGCGTCTCGGTGTAGCTCCCTTATCCAGCTCGTCGAACAATTATTTTCACGCCCGAAGTTTTCGATGAGTTGGACTAGCGGACAGCCAGATCGTGTAGATGGATTCGGTTCACTTGCTACTGCAACCCGTGGGGAATCAGCCAATTCTCTATCCTTTTCCTTTTCCAGGGGTGAGCATGTTGTGTAAAACGATGCAGCGACTACGATGTTCCAGGCAGCATGTCTGGAAGCAGATCGACTGTGCGCTGTTCCAAGTTGCATGAATCCCCCACTGCATTCACTGACGATCGGGCCTCCGGAACTACTGTAGCTGTCCACTCGTGACCGAAAATAAAATCAGTGTCAGACGCGGATGACACTTGCTCTTTTGTTTTCCCTCTCGAATCTCTTTCATCCTCCTGACGATCCCGCAGGGACCTGTCCGACAACGATCTGACGACGCTGCTTGTTGGCATATTTGATTCTCTCCCGGCCGTGACGGTAATGTAAGTATCGACAGGTGGATGTCACCGGTATACGATGTCCATGGGATGAGACGATGAACGGAGGCCTTCCGGTATGCCGTGGTAGTGAAATGACTTCTTTATGGGCCTTCGTGTTCGATGCATTGGACTTCGTACGTGTGGATGGTCGGCAGGTCTTGCATATGTGTTCGGGTTGCTTGCTACACTATGGGAATTGAGCCGATTCCTCTGACCCTCTGCTGTAGAGAGAGCGCTTCGTGAAAACTGGTGCAGTGACTACGATGCAGGCATTATTATGTCTGGAAGGAGCAGAGCGGCTGTGCACTGTTCCGTATTGCACTAATCTACCGCTGGTTTCACGTTTAACAATCGAGCCTCCCAAATATGGCGGCCTATTCATGACTGCAATGCAGCATCTGAAGCGGGTGACACTTTGTATTGTCTTCCCTTCTTGACCTATCTCATCCTCCCGACAAACCTACAGCGACCTGTCTGACAACGAGCTGGCGACGTTGCCTGCCGGGATACTCGATTCCGTCAACCAGCCGATCTACATGTGAGCATCATACAGCTGCAGCTTACAGGGGTAATGTGCAGAAGAACGCATGATACTTGGCTGCTAGATCGTGGCGAACGGCAGCACTGAGTGGTTGAACATTTTGGTACGTGCGTGAAAGTTATTTCTACCCAGCGCGGATGCGTTGTCGGGGGGTCACCCGAACACTGTCAGCTTTCTCGCGTGGGTTATAGGTGCTTTCACCGCCGCAGCTCGGGCTCTCCCGTTCTCCCAATGAAGCTCGATGGGACCATGGTTCTCTACTTCCGTACTTTTGTACGGCTTCGTGTGGACGGATGGCCCGGGGATCCACTACATGTGCTTGACTTAGTTGCTAAACCGTTGGGAATGACCCGAATCCCCAACACTCTGCTGTAGAGTAAACATGATGTGGAAAACGAAGCAGTGACAACGATACTACATGCAGTTTGGCTGGAAGCAAATCGGCTGTACATTATGCTGTCACATGTTGCGTGAATCCGCTACTGCATTCACTTGCGACGATCTAGCCTGCCAAGCTAGCAACCAACGCAACCAATATTCAGTGTCAGACGCTGGTGATACTTGCTCCTTTGTTGTATTTCCTTCTAGACGTCTCTCTTGCCCTCCCGACGAACCCGCAGATACCTGGGCTACAAAGACCTACCGA